AGAGAGAGAGAGAGAGAGAGAGAGAGAGAGAGAAAGCATATGTAGTACTAGCAAGAAAAACAAATTACCGCCAATTTCCATGGCAGGGGGACCAGATAGAGGCTTCGCATTTAAGCATTTATCCACCCCGATTTTCTACTGTAAACTTTGTAAAGGTTGGTTTGGTTTTATTGTGTTTTCTACTTTTCTTAGGGTTTCCATTTTCGTTCACTTTTCCCTTACACTTGCATTCAAGGTGAGCTTTCATAAAGATTATTTCATTTTTTATGAGTAATTAAACCCTAGTAATTAGGGTAATTAATTCGTCTTAATCTAATCCGAATTCTTGGAAGGCGATAGCGGCATCTGGGACATCTAATGGCTCACGCTGCTAAAGTCTACAATGATAGTGCAAGAGCCAAGAGAGACTATTCAAATGCCTGTTAGAACAAATCATTGTGACTTTGTACAGTTAGAATTCTAAGCAAAGCACTACAAACGAAGACAGTTGATAACATGTTATACATTGGTACCTTTCCATGGTGACAAAGAATGATTTGTACCACTTTCTTTTACCCTCCGGAAATTTCTTGGCTTGATGTTTTCTCAAATATAAACTCTACACATCTTTGTCATGTTTTTAGCTTTGATCCTGTTTGGAAATTCTGCATTCCGGAATTTCAACTGAATATTCTTAACTTAAACGGGTGGGCTTGCTTTTGAGGTCATCTTGGAGGATTCAGTACTGATCCTAAACCCAAGGCTGAGGAGATTATAATCGCATGGTTCCCATGAGGTAGCCTTAGGCCATGGGGCAGCTAGCTGCACTGGTTGACCAATTTCATTCAAATGTGCCCGTAATTTAACCATTCCTCCAAGTCATCGACAGCTCTTTTGTCAACAACCGTGTTTAATCTTAGAAAATGATCATCTCATCATGCTTATCTTGTTAAAAGGGTTAATTAATCATCTCTGTGGACATATGCACTTGACCTTTACGTTATCAAATTGGAGTTCTTAAATATTGTTTCCCATTTCTTTAATCTTCAGAAGGGGTTAAGATATAGCTTCAGGCCAATGTGATTTTGACAGACGGCAGCCTATGGCTTGTTCGGATGATGACAAAATTAATCTTGTGATGAAAAATGTTCGGAAAATTCTGGTGGTAGGAGAAGATTACTTCATATCCAACAATGATTTCCTAGTGAGGCTCATCACCACCCAGCAGAAGCCTACAATTCAACAATTTCCATGCAGTTTCCTCCTAACCTGGGACTGTTAGTTGCTTTTGCCAAGTGTGCACACGAAGCTTTGTGGTATACCATTCTTGTAAAGGGATGCATTGCAATGCAGGGTTACAAAATTTATATTGTCCGTAGTTAATTCCCATACATTTATTTCTAGATGAGTTGATTAATGACTTTAAGATTGAAAATACATTATCTGAATTTAGGGCCAAGGAAGCGGTCAAGCTTGCTTTGATTTGTAGTGAATTAAAAGCTGGTCATTTTTCCAAGGTTTCATGAAATCACTACCTAATGCAAATTCAAAGGTTAGGCATGTCTCTGCCTATGCAAGAATGTATGGATTCTATAGAGCCAACAATACACACACGTTTGCAAAAGTTTATCGTCATTGGATACTGGCATTAATGAGACCGGTTTCAAAAAGGACTTGTGTATACACACACACAAAATACAGAGCCAGATTCTAAGTAAATTGTTAGTGGGTCGATCTTCTAGCTAAGCCCATCAATAACTTTTTCCAATTTATAAGGAGTGTCGGGCCATTAGAATTTTAGGCCTTTGCTGGGCTGAAGCCTCATCTCTTACTCAACATTTTGTAAGCCCAATTTCTTAGCAGTTAGCATAAATATTCTTCTGGGAAAAAACAAAACAGAAGGTTTCACCCAACCATCAACCAATATGTATATGCAGTTCCTGCTAAATTTAGCACAATAGACAAGGCATTTTGAACTTGAATGCACGTGAAAGGTGACAAATAATAAGCTAGCCATCAATTGATCCAGCCGCCTTCCCTCCACCTACTGATCTCAAATAGAGAATGGAACCATTCTCAAAGGGAAGGCGCCTCGACTCATTTGATTCTTTCATTGCACTCAATTTTATTTGCCAGTGGTACAAATTCATGACTATATTGATAGAGAAACAATAGAAAAGTCCCCTTTTCTAATTGCACCACACGTTTATAGGCCACGAGAGATGGAACTGCTAGCTAGCAGCATGGGGGCGCGTGGAGTCAAAGCTCGTACTAATGGCATATTCCCTGAAAATGATGGAAAGAGCTAGGAGCTCCGTTCAGGAGTCTGGACATGTTCTAGTTCTCCACTCCAAACTGCCCTACGCCACCGTTTTCCATCATTAACCTTCCCAGTAGTTTCTATGGACCTCTCTTTACAAAATGCAAACTGAGCTGAAATTTGCTAAGTTCACCTAACCTTGCATGTGACCAGAACTTTTTAACACTCCAATCGCATTTGAAAACCTAAAATTTTCACTGTTTTTATTGACAAGTATGGCCACTCTTACTTTCACACCATCCCCAGCACCATATCCCCTACTTTCGCAAAGAAAACTAACTGGTCTAGGTCCTAGTCAATGCCTTGGAACTCCAAAAGAAGCCATCCGAATCCCTAGTAGTAATGGAAAGGCCATGTTTCCTGAAAAGGGTCTTTTAGCACGCGCGGAAACATCATCACCTCCTACGCCTCGCCGGATAATCCTGGTAAGGCATGGACAGAGTGAAGGGAATGTGGATGAGAGTGCCTACACAAAAGTCGCTGATCCCAAGATTTCGTTAACCGAGAAAGGCAAGGCTGAAGCTGAGGAATGTGGATGGCGAATAAGGGAAATGATTGAGAAAGATGGAGCAGATGATTGGAAGGTTTATTTCTATGTGTCACCATACAAAAGAACACTTGAAACGCTTCAGCACTTGGGCAGGGCATTTGAGCGTTCGAGAATTGCTGGCATGAGAGAAGAGCCTCGAATCCGGGAGCAAGACTTTGGTAGGTTGCTATCTTTTCTCTATTCTATCCTGTAATCTTGTCTGCTTCAGTATTCATCTAGCTAAACAACTGCCATAAATATCTAGTCCTACTATATATATTCACCATGAACATTGCGAGGAAGGCATGCACCTAACTCCATGAACGATTCATTGCATTAATTCGCTTTGTTTCTAGCCATGTACTTATCAAAGCACAACAAACGAAAGCATGCGAAGGGGTCCCCTCCTAATCTGCACCACACATCCATACCTATCTATCAGATAAAGTTGCAAGTTGCAACCACCACGCGCAAGTGAAGAATTCAGAAAACAGCATTGCATCTGAAATAATTGAAATTTTTTAAGGACCTTTACTACGCCCCTGGGATATCTGGAAATGTTTCCTACCACTTTAAATGTGTCCTCTTTAATTAATCATGTCTATGGTGAACAGGAAATTTTCAGGACAGAGAGAAAATGAGAGTTGACAAAGCTCTTCGTCTGCGTTATGGTTGTTTCTTTTACCGCTTCCCTGAGGGAGAATCTGCGGCAGATGTTTATGACAGAATTACTGGTAATAGTAATACATTATCCATTCTGTTAACTCAAAGCAAAGAAAGGGTTTAAAACTGATAGGGTTAATGAAACAGGATTCAGAGAAACACTTAGGGCGGATATCGACATTGGACGCTTTCAGCCACCTGGCGAGCGGAGCCCAAACATGAATCTAATTATTGTGTCACATGGCCTAGCATTGCGTGTGTTTCTGATGAGGTGGTATAAATGGACTGTGGAACAATTTGAAAGACTCAATAACATGGGCAATGGTAACATAATTGTCATGGAAAAAGGTTATGGTGGAAGGTAATAATCTTCTACTTTTGTGCCCCAAATCCCAAAAAGTTAATTCAAGCCAAGATTGTCGAGTTGGGAAGCAGTCTGATTAACTAGCAATCTGTCTAAAATCTTCAGATACAGCTTATTAATGCACCACACTGAAGAAGAGCTAAGAGAGTTTGGATTGACAGATGAAATGTTGATTAATCAAGAATGGTAAGTCCTATGAGGATATCTCACTCTCATATGTTGATGTTCAACATTTCAGTAGAAAATAGAAACTGTGTGGTTCTTTCTCCTTGTAATGCTGACCTCTTAAGTTTCTTGGTTTCTGATAACTTAGGCAAAACACTGCAAGACCAGGAGACCTGAATTATGATTGTCCAGTAGTAAATTCTTTCTTCACTCACTTTGAAGATGAGGGCTGCAGGACCCCGTACTAAGAGAAGATATTAGAATTTAGATTATCACTATACAACAGAAAGGAGCTGGGGATTATTATTAGACAGACTAAAGGCTAGACAACATGAAGCCAAAGATTTTGAGCCTGCAGAGTGCTTGACATCATGATTCTGCTAAGGAATAATTCCTGGTGTCATATTCATCATTCTTGCAGGGATTCTGATTGGAACGGGAGGCAATGCCACAGTTCCCTAGCCATTCTTCTATAGGGCAATATAACAAAAGGTATTGACAAGGAAATTGAATCAGCTAAAGAGAAAATTTACATGCTGGATTGTCATTCTCCTTAAATGAGTAGCAAATTTTAAGAACATGATGAGGTGGTTCATATTATAATTCAACTCATAGTTAAGAAAAAGTTATCCTGACTGTATTAATTTGTTAGATCTGTGATGTGAACTATCACACAATATTCAACTAATGAAGAGGATAATAGAATTTATGTTTACGTTATATGTAATATTGGGTCCAAAGTGGTGCTCAGGAGTCTTTGGAGCCAGCTTTGATCCACCTTCTAAATCTCCTTTTCAAGTTCAATCACTGTAATGGGTCCAAACACACCACAAGATATAAGAATTGTGGAATGTTAATGTTAGATTTAGTCAAAAAGTTTGTTTTTAATCAATAATCGTGTTGACAAACCTTAGTTTGAGAAACAAGATCTTGGAAAGCTGGTTCTCACTCGAGAGAACAGCTGCAGCCTGCAGCTATGAAATGATGGTAGTGGAGCACATTCCAGACGATAGCATTTCCCCTTCTTTTTTTAAATCCATCTGCTTGATATGAGAATGGATATGGAGTTTTTAGAGCAGATCATAAATGATAAGCCTTTTGTCAATCTGTCTGTCCCGTCTAGAGCTTTAATAATTGATTCCCCATTTGAGGTAAGAGCTTTCCGCAGTCGCACGGCCACAGCCGAAGTGCCACAGGGCCAAAAAGGCTGAAAAAGGATGGCCAAGACATCCTGTTCAGTCTTACACTTGCATATACGCGTGCTCACAAAGCCAGGGTAAGCTTGTGCAAATGCATATTTACAAGGTATTAGAGAAACTTTAGAATCACATGAAATAGTTTCCATAGCCATCTACCAAAAGCCAATATCTCCTAGTAAAGTTCAAAACCCAAATCCTCCACAAAGAAGGAAAGAACATTATTTCCCCACAAACCTCTACCCGTATATAACACTTGGGAGAAGTTATCCCAAACATATTCCTAGGTTATTCCCACACGAAAACGAGTAAAGAAAGTCATTCCCCAACATTTTTCTTTTCTAAAATAATGGTAAAGATGCTGAGGAGTTTGGCTCACATTTCAACATTCACCATAGAAATAAATGCCAGCAAAGCCACCAAAAAGTGGTCATCATCTTCTCTGCACCATCGTATAGGATGCTCTGCGTTCTACAATCAAGATTTTTCACGTCAGTCTTAAAGATCGCAAGGCCATAAATTCAGCACCATCCTGGCTCCAGTATTCTGGAGCGTATCCGGGTAAAATTAGCAGCCTTTGTTTTCTCAAAAGTTCTGCAATCCCAGATGTACATCATTATGACAGCATAAAAGGCCTACTTGTCTCTGAAGCTCTGCAAAAATTTGAATAAAAGGTGGGGTAGATCTTTGCTTCCATAATCAGCAGCTGTGAAAATGACACTGTTAAAATAAGCCAGATGAAGTGATAGAAATGCTGATTTTTCAGCATCTTGCCTGTTCAGAAATTTTAACGCATGGAGACAATCAGCATAAGAACAATACAGCATTGATTGTAAGAATACATGCTCATCCAATGCGAAAGGGCTGCGAAGGAGAATACCAGGAGAGAAATAGTTAACCAAATGATACCCTAGCAATAAGCCAGTAACCAAGTACTGAGTTCAGCTTTCATGCCATATACATTCTTAAGCGAGAACTTCTGCATTCAAGTATCTGCTAATTGACCTTCACAATTCTATTATTTATGTATAGTAAGATTTAAGAAAAGAGAAAAGCAGGTAACCCCAAAAATAAAGGGGGAAAATCAATACCTGGGAAATAAATATCAGTGGATGATGAAAAGTGCAAAGAAAAAACATAAATGGACAACAAATAACAGGCGATTTATCTGAGGTGAAATCTTCCATTATGAAAACTGTTTGGTTAAGAATAGGAACAAGAAACCGAAATCAATCCCCAACTCCACTAACATATTACTGTTACGAACTGTCAAAATGCCTGCCGACAGCATATACATCTCCACAACTTGCCTTCAGAAAG